TCAGCCAACCCCAGGAACGGGGATGTGGTGCTGGTTTGAACTGGAGTTACAGGTAAAAATGCATGGCCAGGGTAACAATGCTTGCAATTTTATGGGCAATTTACTTTTGACTTGAGAATGTTTTTGAAGTCAAGTGACTGTTTCCAACTTTTCTATTTTGGGTTATTACCTTCCCATAGCATAATCCTCTCAGCACAAGAACCTCTTCTGGCCACTGGGACATTGCGGAGTAAAACAAGCCCCAGACACGGCAGTTTCTTACATTTGAAGCCTACAGGAAATCGCTGAGGGGTGCTATGTTAGCACAACCAGTCTTGCTTGTTTTCTAAGACTATTCTCTGATTCTTTATTTCTTGAATCTAGTCGTTCCATTTGAAATGTAGATGGTGTGATATTCATTTGTATTTCCAGTTCTGGCCCATAATCTTTTTTTTTTCTGTACTGCTAAGATATGTTATATATTTTTAAAAGAGCAGCCCTTGAAATTTAGGAAGCATTTGGCCTACATGTTGCTACAGAGCCACGCATATTGAAATTTGTTTTCCTTTCATCTCCTTCCCAATAAAAGCAGCCGCTTGCTCGGCTTATCCCTCCAGCTTCCTCAGAACTTCCTTTCAGGATTCCCGATCTATTACGGCACATTCACATACCAGAAACAAGATGCCTTTTCATGCTGTCAACGTTTCTCATCTGAAATGTAAATTAAGTCTTGCTGGTATGCCTTGACAGAGATCAAAGTCAGGGTATGAACCTTCCCCGTCTTTCTCCTCATCAGAACCTGGAATCCGACCCCACGACTGGGCGGCCTCTGTTCAGAGACTGGGGTCCCATTATCGGACCCTCCTCAGACTGGGGTCCCATTATCGGACCCTCCTCCAGGCAGCCCTCGGCCCCAAGCCACCCTTTTCAAGGCTGGTAGCCCCTTTGTCAGCAACCTTCTCATGGCTCTGAACCAGGTGAGAAATGATTTGCCTGACTAATTCCAGAGAGAGAAGCCTGCTCCTTTTCGTTGTGGGCCCAGCATTCTGGCCCCGGGAGCTGGTTTAAGTGGGTCTGACAGCCAGGGGTCCTGGTGACAGACAGGGCTCCAGATGGGCAGGGGGTCAGTTCTTGCCTGTTCCACTTTGAGGTAGGCCGCATTTGCATTTTCGAAATAAACAGCTGCCTTTCAAATACATGAGCTGCTGGTCTGGAGATCTCTGTGGGCCGATCAAATGCTGGAGGAGAAAACAAACGGGGGAAAACAAG